TGGGAGAGAACTCATTTCTAAATTTACTAACATATTCAGAAACTTGTTTTACTAGAATCTTTGAATCACTGGTATAGAACATAATCAGGCATCAACCTGTTGATATATAACATTTTGAATTCATTATTAATAATTGTTTCTAAGTCTTTTACTGTTTTACTATTTTTGTGCTTTCAAGGGGGGGTATTGTCCCCCAGTACCCCCCCTTATCTACGCTGGTGGATTTCACATCGACACTTATTCTAGCAAAGATCCAGCGCCATGTTCTTATATAGATCCATTCCTTACAGACCAAAAATGATGGACATTTATAGGTACCTAAATTATTCCCAAGTGAGATACTTTTCAAAATTAGCGTTGGTAAATATTTTGAATTGAACAATTCATGGAAACTGGCTTGAGGTTTAATGAATTCAGTATACCTTGATTCGTACCTCTAAGAATATCCTTTTTTTTAGTGACTGAAATGATGTACATTTACCTCAATAATTATATGCTTTTCAAGGGTATGTGAATGAATCCCAGGTAATTGAATGACTAAAAATATCCCGAGGTTGAAATAAGTTTTTATGCACCTAAAAGAGCTTCATGTCTATTGCCCAACATTTCATTTTCTTACATGGGCACAGAGAGAAATTGCTATTTTTCAAAGAAAGCACAACATACCGTAACTGATTATCTTGTTTCATTAATTCGTCAATTTATCGACAATATCGGAATTGGCCTACTTCGATAGTCATGAGGTCACATTCCAAACATACCTCTACTAATACCTATGAAATTAAGTGTTTCCAAAATACGCTTTATCACCAACGAGGTCTTTTGTTTGTGTTCTGTTTATTCAGCATTTCGATATTACTCGAAAAATGATCGGAAAAAATGTGAAGAAAACCTGAATAATAAGACAAACTTTGTTGAATTTGGTTGAGGTGTTAGAGGTAGGTAGTAAACGAGATAACACCATTTGAATATGGTAAGTGCTCCGTTGAACACCGTGTATAAGTTGGGATTCGTTATCAGAAAACGGATACATGAAAATGTGTAATGACATAAAAGAATGAACAGAAAAATAGAAGTTTGAAAAACTAAAGGATCACGTTTTTATCGATAGCCAAACTGAAAAGAAGTAGAAAATAAAATAATGAAGATGTATTGATAAATACAAAACAGAAAATATTAGCATCTCCGTAATCATTATACCTATATTCTATAGTGTAATTTTATTATTTTGTTTTCTTCTTCTCCTTAGTTTGGCTATCGATGAAAGCGTGTTTCTTTAATTTTTCAAACTACTATCACTTTTCTTTTTTTTAGTTCGGCGAACTACAAAATCGTGTTTTTAAGTGTTCTTATTATATTTTTTGTGAGTAGGTACCCAATTTGGACGAAAGAAACATAATCTCCGACTTCAAAAACCCCCAGGCACTATAATTTTCAATAGAATCAGATTATGATTACAAAACTCGTCCGCCATATTGTATCCGTCATCTTGAATTCACAATTTTGACGAAAGAATCATGATCTCCGACCTCGAAAACCCCTATATATCAATTTTGAATAGAATCCGGTCATAATTACAAAACTCGCCCACCATTTTGGAGCCGCCATTTTGTTTTTATGTCTAACAAGAACTTCATGATGCATTGTCACCAGAATTATGTACACCTGCCAAATTACAAATCAATTGGTCCGTTTAAAGTGGAAAAATGGAAATTATCCTGTGACGCATCATTATTTGTTAAGTTGTAGCCGGTTGTAGCATACGCGTGTTTATTGAACATAATTTTCTCATTGGATTGTCGATATCTCGGTCGATATATTAAATCTGAAGAAAAGAATGACAATTTCAGTAGATAACACATCATTCACATAAACACGACTGTTTATTTCAAGCCAAGAATATCTATTTTTATTGTACGTTGAACGTTCTATTTATATCGCGCCAAAGCGTGCAATATATGCAATTATTGCAAAACGTATACGGCGATTCCACATCTCCAAACCATTTCGAACCATCGTCCAAACCAAAACGCAGTAAGTGCATTTGCATAACTAAAAAATGATTCTGGCTATACACTGCCCAATGCCCATACTGTTCCTCTACGTGTATGTGAGTCCCGTATAACTGTTGATCTGTGATTGGCGAGATTACAGTTACGAACTACAGTCACAAGAGTAATGCCGCTAGGATTAAAATTACGAATTTCAATCATAAAAATCATATTATACAGGGTGTCCCAGTGTCCCATGAATCGATGCCCCTAGCTCATAGCTGAAGGGCATCATTCCTTGAACAGTTTCAGCGGGGGGACATTTTGAACAAAGCCTTTATTAGTAATAATAATATTAATAATAATTTTTATTCACAGTCTATCATTGAAATATTCATTAAGCGTATAATACGATTTATCCAAGAGCAACTTCTTGATATCATTTGGCAACTTGCTGTACACTTTTATGGCCATATACCGAGGACAAGTTTCCGTTACTGTCAATCTGTGTAGTGGCACATCTAGTTGTTGCAAATTTCTAGTGATATGTGTATTTCTGTTAAGACTCTGGAAATCTGTTATATTCAATTAAACATATTGCAATAACTCATAGATATATGTACTTATGAGTGTTAAGATTCTGAGGCTTTGAAAAATGGACTTACAACTGGTTCTTCTGCTTACTCCTGCAATATACCTGATAGCTCTTTTTTGAATTTTCAATAGCCTGGTGCAATCACTAGATGCTCCCCATGCCATTAATCCAAAATATTTACCTAAGAAGACCATGATATTGTGTGTAATGAAAATCAGTTGGAACTCATCACCTTGGTTGTCGAAACATCTCTCTATCTTCTTTAGCCCAACTACAAGGGCTTGTCAAGCTCATGAAAATGAAATCCAAATCACTGCGGCATTATGGCAGGTTCCCAGAAGGTATAATATATTTTGCTAGCATTTTATACGCTAGCAAAAGTCAACCCAAATCCAAGCGCAGAGCCCATGAATCGAACACGCGACTGAAATGCCTCCGGGAGTGTACAGGGTGACAAAAATGAAGTATTTTTTATGGGCATTCAGAGGCCAAGCCAAAGACAAGAATCTCACTGAGCTTAGGCAAATACGCGACGGTGTTTCAGGCAGAAATCATTGCAATACATCATTGCGTAAAAGAATTGATAAGGCAAGAGTTTAAATGCAAAACCATTGCAATCTATTCAGTTAGCCAGGCGGCAATCAAAGCAGTCAACTTTATGAAAGTTAACTCAAAACTAGTATGGGACTGCTTAGAAACCCTAAATGCACTGGGCAGTCAGAACAGACTGACTCTAGCATGGGTACCAGCACATACAGGGTACGAGGGCAATGAAGAGGCAGACTCACTTGCCCGAGCAGGAGCAAACAAAGCTCTTAATGGCCCAGAACCCTTCTGTGGTATTGCGAAAGCTATACAAAAGACTAGTATCAAATCATGGATGCAAACCAAATCTCAAGAATGGTGGAACAACTCGCCAGGAATGAGACAGGCCAAATAGTTTATTAAAAAACCATATATCGCCAACATTCACAGAATATCTACTAAGCCAGAAACGCCAGAAGTTCAACTAGAATACTATAGTGGGACTTCTCACAGGGCATTGTAGGCTCAACAAACACATGAGTACGATAGGTCTGACTGAAGAACTGCTGTGCAGGTTCTGTTAAGAAGAGGAAGAAACAGCAGTACACATACTTTGCCACTGTCAGGGCTTGTCAAGACTAAGGTTCCTTACGCTGGGTGAGGAAATACCAGGAGCCCAGAGATACACAGGAGATCTGAAAGCTAGCCTATGGAGTCTCATAGAGAAGGCGGGGCTAGCCGAAGAACTCTAATCAATTTTGAGGGCAGACACAATAGATCTGAAAAGGTCGCAGTGTGGAGGCAGATGGCCCGAAGGCCCCATTCCAAATCTAATCTAATGGGCATTCAGAATCTAGTACTGGAAAATGAAAAAAAAAAACATCGTAAACCTGAGAATTTTACATAAACTGGTATATTTTTCAAATACTTCCTCATCCCTACTAGAAAAATCTATGTTTCAATTCAGTCGGTAACCAAACTTGTAGCCAAAAAATCTACTGAGAGGATTTCCCTCGTCACTATCCTGCCTCTTCCGTCTGCATTGCACATGTGACGTCATCGCCACGTACGTGCCCCGTACTCGCACTAGCACCTACAGACAGGAGGAAACAAATAATCATCGAGGTGAGGTAATGTTACAGCGCGAGACCGCGGCAGCTGAACAATAATAATTAGTATTATTCCTTGGTAGGTAAATAACCAATACCCTTTATTGGCCCAGAATCAAATCTACAGGAAATTTCCGGCCGAGAGCTCGGCCTCAACAGTAAATAATGGTCAGGAAGGAAGTGAAATATCCTTTCTTTGAACAACCTAGCCTTAGTCAGCCTAAATGAACCATAAACCTTCCTTCTGAAACGTTTATTTTTCGAAAAAAAAGCCGTCCGTTGCAGGCATCGAACCCGGGTCGCCGGCGTGGCACTCATATACCAAAGCAACCACGCCATACGCACGTACCTGGAAGCATGGCAGAATTTATTCGCTGTATTTGCGCTCGTCCCGAGTTTATTCAGTGTGAATTGGACCTTAGAACACGTCCATGTGTCCCTAATGCCCAAAAAGAAAACTGGAAATAATACATTTCCTATAGTTTGGTAAACAAGTGATCACAATTTTGTGCGATTGTGCTTGTAAGATCGATGCTACTAATTAGATTATGACGGTATGACGCACATTTACTCCGAACCTCGTACCTTGCACTATCGAGGTGGATAAATGAATGCAGTAGATATCAAGTGTTATTGTTATTGTTTATTGTTTGCATAAACGACGATAACGCATGCAGATGTGATGCAGCAATTTATTTTTTGTAAACACTCAGAGTGGGAGCTCACAAAAGACCCTCCTGCTTATTAATTTTGGCAACTTGTATTTTTTGTTGGACTCACGTTGAAGTTGATGAGAAGAATGTCAACAAGTTCTGTCATAGTTTTTACACATCGAATATTGTGGATTCGATAGATGTAATCAATGTATACTTGGAAATGTTTACTCACAATGATCAAGTTAATTTCAATTAATTACAAGAAATGTTATTTGAAAAACATGAATAACAAAAGTTGTAAGATTCTCAACGATTTTGAAATGGGACAATCTCAGGTTTTGAAGTCGATAATAGATAATGACTAATAATGCGTAATTTGCGATTCTCCTTCCACAACAAATTAATTAAATAGATATCAATGACACATGATTATGAATAATAATGCAAATAAAGAAATACATTGAAAATTCGCATTCTCTATTTGATAAACATATTATGTTCTTTTACGGCATATTCATTAGAAAACAACTACCGATGAAAATATACCGAGAAATAATTCATATCAGATAGAGAATGCGAGCTCAATGTATTTCTTTACCCATATGTATATGTAAATGTTTTCATTTTCATAATATTATATCTGAGAATATTACCGTTCAATACCTTCATACCCAATCAAGGGATTTAAACTTGAACGATGGAAATTTGTATTTACAGACCTCTAATCACAGATTCGTGATTGGGTTTTCTCATATCAGTTTTTTTTTCACATCCTCTTTGAAACATCATTTCATTGATAAAATTAAAAATATACAAGGTGAAAGAGAGAGAGATTTTACCCACAACAATACGTTGCGTCTCGGTATACTAACTAATCTCACGACAGGAATGAATCTCTTTCCACCTCGGTGTGTAATATACTATTTCTAAGGCTTTAACAGAAAACAGCGGAATTTTTTATTTCTCCGGCTTGTAGCCATCTGATTTTCTTTTGAGTAATGCTAATTTATTTGACAGAGCTTTCATTGCTTGAAATTTGACATTTCATGGGAGATGAGCTTTTATGAATAACTGACAAATTTTTTTTCATGTTCTGGTTCCCACGAAAAGGGATATCCTGTAATGTTCAGAGAACATCGTGAGAACCAAGGAAAATAAGGTAGGAATTGGTGTTCTTCTTAAATTTCTGGAGGTTATATGCCTCGGGGCACACCTCCCTTGACAGTGTGTTCCAGAGCCTCGCTGTTCGTTGGATGAACGAGTCTTTGAAAAGAGATGTTCTGAAGGTCTCCAAAGTGACCACGAAGGGGTGCGAAGCCTCAACTCAACGGGTTAATCTCTTGGGGACTACCAAGGGAGGAACAATTGTTGATATTTCAGAAGAGCATCGTCCATGAAAATATCTATAAAATAGAGCCAGATCGCCAACTTGTCTACGGGGTTCCAGAGAAGTAAGTGAGTTTGTGAGCGAGGCATCACCCACGAGACGAATTGCCCTTTTTTGGACAGAATCCAACAGTTTCAGGGTATGTTTCGGTGCTGCACTCCAAATATGGGAACAGTATTCCAGGACAGGTCGAATCTGTGCCTAATAGATCATAAGCAGCTGACTGGAAGTGAAATAACTCCTGGCCCGAAACAGAAAACCAAGTTTTTGGGATGCACTTTTAGCAATTGATCTCACGTGATTTTCTCAAGAAAGGTTATTGCTGATAGTAATACCAAGCATCGAAATGGATGTCTTCAAAGGTATGATGATTACTCCTGACAAGCTTATGTTGGGCATAGTGAGATCGGCTTTTCTAGAGAAAAGGCATTGTCATATAAGATACGGAAATAAAATTGATAACATACAGAGTACCTCATTGATTTATCGAAGACAGTAAAACAAGAGCAATTTTCTGTCGTAGCCGTAGAAAATTACTATACAGTGTGTCCCACTTACCATGCTCACCATGGGTATCTTTTTAACTGTGAGAGATACGAGGTCGGTTAAATGACACCAAATGTGGAGTTAACTATAATGTGAAAAAATATTTTGATAAAATCGTTTTTGTTTTATACGCAAAAACCAGATTTTGATCATTTTCATGTCTCATCCGTAACTTCTTTATTTATGAAAATATTCAAATAGGAATTTCACATTCTTATGGCAGTTTTTCAAAGTGATTTCGAAAAAAATATGAAATATATACCAACTCTTCTAGAATTTGAGGTATCAGCACCAACTTTAGTTTTTCAAATGGGGGTCACAGCTCACTATGACTTAGTTACAAATAACTTTTTTTTCTCTTACAGATGGTATGTCGCAGTAATAGTTTTGTGTTGATAACAACGGAGTTATCGTCATTTATACAAAAACAAAAAATTATTTGGAAGCCGCCATCTTGAATTTATGAATTTTAACAAGAAAATCATGATCTCCGACCTTGAAAACCCCCACTTACCAATTTTGAATGGAATCGGACCAAATCTTGTCCGCCATCTTGGAGCAGCCATTTTTTTAAATTTCAACAAAAATTCCATAACTCCGATTAACTTGAAATTTGGCAGGTGTTCATAATTTCGGTGACAATACATTATGGAACACTGTATATGTGGAATGAGAACGAACTTCCTTTATAAGATCAAAACTATTGCGACTAATATCTACATGTGACTCAGTAGTCACTAGTGAGTTCAGTACCATACCACCTCCGGTCAAAAACCTTAGAGCGCCAAACAAAACAATACAACGCGACCCGATCAGATCGGCAGTGAGTCAGCTGACGGATAGCGTGACCTCCAAAACGTCTTATTATCGTTATTATACCTGCTGCTGTGGGGCTGCAGAAATCAATGTTCTTTTCTATCTTCGTCTATTTATGCGGAGAAAGTAAAATGAATTCGTTATATCGGTTAATAATCGAAATAGGCTATGGAAACGAGATCACGAGCTCTATCAGCTACCTAGATCACGGTCAGGTTGTTCATTATGTGAAATGTAACAATATTTTCAGATCGATTTTACTCGAAAATGATACATCTTTTTTTATGGTCTGGTTCCCACGAAAAGGGATTTCCTGTGATGTTCAGAGAACATCGTGAGAACCAAAGGAAATAAGGTAGGAATTGGTGTTTTTCTTTTAAATTTCTGGAGGTTATATGCCTCGAGGAACACCTTCCTTGGCAATGTGTTCCAGAGCCTCGCTGTACGTTGGATGAACGGGTCATTGGAAAGATATGTTCTGCAAGTCTCCAAAGTGACCACGAAGGGTTGGGAAGCCTCAACTCGACGTGTTAATCTCGCGAACAATTGTTGATATTTCAGAAGATCATCGTACATGAAAATATCTATAAAACAGAGCCAGATCGCCAACTTTTATACGGTGTTCCAGAGAAGTGAGTGAGTTTGTGAGCAAGGCATCACCCACGACACGAATTGCCCTTTTTTGGATAGAATCCAACAGTTTCAGGGTATGTTTGGGTGCTGCACTCCAAAAACAGTATTCCAGGACAGGTCGTATCTGTCCCTTATGGATTATAAGCAACTGATTGGAATTGAAATAGCTCCTGGCCCGAAACAGAAAACCAAGTTTTTGGGATGCACTTTTAGCAATAATTGATCTCACGTGATTTTCCCAAGAAAGGTTATTGCTGATTATTATACCAAGCATCGAAATGGATGTCTTCAAAGGTATGGTTACTCGACAAGTTTATGTTGGGCACAGTGAGATCGGCTTCTCTGGAGAAAAGGCATGCCTGTGTTTTGTTTGCATTGGAATCTACCAAGTTATTGGATCCCCATTCGAGAATTATTGTTGCCAAGTCCATATTTATGTTGTCAACATTTCTCCCTCGTTCGTTTCTGATTTGCCTGGCTGGTATTGGAGCCCTGGAAGAGGAGGCGGTATGGAGGGTACTATCATCCGCGAAGCTATGTACTGGACATGGAGTTACTTCCAACAAATCGTTGATATGGAGTAGAAATAGTGTTGGTGCTAGACTTGATCCTTGCGGCACACTAGCATTAATGATAAGAGAGCCAGATGAAACTCCGTCGACCACTACATGGAGAGACCTGTTTGAAAGAAAACTAGCTAGCTAGCATGAGCTCGATGTTGATAGCTTTCTCCATGATCTTTGAAATAATAGATAGTAGTGCGATCGGTCTGTATAGTTGCTAGGCAGGATCTTTTTGCCTTTTTTAGGAACTGGCTGTACTCTTGCAATTTTCCAGTTGAACGGGAATATCCCCAATTTGTAAGAGTAGTTGAACAACTTGAAGATAATAGGTGTTAGTTCGGGAGCACATTTCTTGAGAACAATCGGTGGGATTCCGTCGGAACTGATCGATACGAAACACAAGCACATTTTTTCTGTAAAGAGGTGTGGATTTTCATAATCCGAGAATGACATGTCGAAAAATACGCGTGCAAAAAAAATGTATAATAGGTATGTCTGCTCTCGTGTTTTGTCACTTTCAGTGAATATTGTTGCATTCGGAATATACAGGAATATAAATCTTCTTCTGAACATTTATTCCATGTTGCACTTGCATGTCATCAGATATGATAATCATTACAGATCCAAGATAGTTTTCATAGCTCTTCGAAACCCATTTAGAATATTTATATAGTGCCCCTCCAAACCCAATGAGTGAATGTGTGGTAAATGTCAGTTTGCACTGGTACGGAACCATGGGCGTCCACATAGAATGAAAAATTTAATTTCATAATTTTGATGTACTAACCCAAACTTGTTCACTGTCACAAACCGATTTTGCCTCACAGTTCCGTACATTTTTTCCATGATTATTGAAATCCACAATAGGTAGTTCATGACATGAACACTGCATGACATACAGGGTGTTTCTTAAGTACGTGTAGAAAATTCAGAAGCATGTTGCTGTCGTCAAAATAAGAGGAAAAGTTCGTATAAATATTTGTCCGAAAGTTATTCGTTTCTGAGATACAGAGTGTCAAAGTTGAATTCTTATTTTTTTTTATTTTCAATAAATGAGAATATTCCTTTTGAATTATTGTTCTATAAACAGTCAAATTAGAAGGGAATGTTAGTTTTCTACTAATATTTTTCTATAAATTTCATTATACGGATGTTTTTTCAAGTTCAAAATGTTATCAACGATGAAACCTATAGGTAGTTGAATTTTTCAACAATTTC